GATAACGAACGGTTACGAATGTAAGGGACCAGTTTGCAAAGCAAACGACATTTCAACCGAGCGCTGCACATACCCTTCGTGTAAGAAAAGAGAAAAACGGATGAAACGAAGAGGCCGGGGGTGGAACAGATGGATAGAAAGTTAGAGTTAGGGCAAACAGTGCGAAGCAATGACATGTAAGCCGACTGCGCGGCCACTGTTTTTTACGCCTATCTCGCGTATTTCGACAAAGCAGCGAATCGAAAAATCTATAGGCTTCAAGGTGAATCTGTCACGTACATTTGAGCAGGTACTTTCTATGGACTCGAAACCATATAACTTTCAAACATCGTTTAGCGAACGATAAATTGAAGCCATGATTAAGAAGAAGATAGTGAGCGAAAGTAATCTTGTTTAGTAAAATCGTGCAAAATCAATGTTACTTAATCTCGTCATTAACCGTTAGAATGAACAATTATTTGCCACTTGGTTTTCAGAAATAGATAGAAATTTGTTATATTAATAAAACTGAGTTATATACACTTACGCGTCGTGCTATTACAACAGCACGAAATATACAAATTGAAAGTAAGTTAATATATTTTCAAATCTCAATTGTATCTCATCTCATGAGATGTGTTTTTCCTGTTTTGTTATCGTTGAATGAGCAAACTAAATATACCTACCAGCTACAGTTGCGTACCTAACTTTTCCTAACGTGATATGTTACATAACATTCCGGTCAATAGGCTATACAGCTTTTACTTTCTAGTCCATTGCCTCCGTAAAACTATCCTCAAGTGTTAGAGTATGTCCTCAATATTTTAGAGTATGGTGCAACGAGGCTGTAAAATTTCTTAATAAATCAAAATAATCATGTTTTGTGCATTGAAACAGAAGAATCGACATTGTAACGAATATGTAGGGTATCCTGCATTTTAATGTCCAAACTCTGTCAATATGTATTGCAAAAAATACATGTAAGATTAAAATATAACGTACCAAAATGTCTATAAATGGTTCATTAAAAAATTATAACAAAAGTATAAAATATGACAAATATGATCAGAACGAGAATTTCAGTAATGGATTAATCGAGGACTAATCTTCTGGTCTCTTGGGTCATCGGATCTTACACTTTTGGAAGAATATTCATTATTTTTAAAAGCAAACATTTACAATGAATTAATTACAGAAACTGTGACCGAAGAAATAATTTACGATGTAATAACATCAAAGTAAATGATAGCCTACATGATATTTTAAAATACTAAACAATTTTGAACATTAAAATACGGGTCATTCTGTGTATAGACTCAGAAGTAGAAAACGAAACGTTTGATACAGAATTAATTAGATTTATATAGAATTAGCGGCTTAATTCACGCAACAGTAATAAACCATATCTCTTTTTTTTCTGGATTGAAATTGAAAAAGAAATTTAGAGGAAGAAAGATGAATGGTTCGAGACAGACTACTCACATTTATAAATTGCAATAATGTGCATGTGCACTTTATAA